CTCAGAGCTCCATCCAGCCTGGCCTTAAACACTTCCAGGGATGAGGCAGCCACAGCTTCTCTGGGCAACCTCTTCCAGTGCCTTATCACCCTCACAGTAAAGAATCTCTTTCTTAAATATAATCTAAACCTACTTCCTAATATCTAATATAAACATGTTCTCTTTCAGTTTGAATTCTGAGCACATCAGTCTACACATCTACCACAGTCTACCACATCAGTTTTGTACATCTCTCAGAGGTGAGTGGGTGATGGTGTGCAGCACACTTGGGTTGTCAAATTCTGTCTGGACTTTGTGTTTTTCAAACAGCCTTTGAAGACAACAGAGTCTTTCATGTCAGTTAGAGCATATTCCAGTTTGGGTCTACAACATGAGATCCGAGAGATATTTTAAATTCACAACTTCAAAGGTTTTCAACAAACGCAATGATAAATTTATTATTATTTCTTCTCAAAGTAGTAGAAATATAATTAAAATACAAGAGCAGAAAGTATGATAAATGAATTGGAAAAATATTGTTAACTATAGCTGTGTATTTTGGGATTCATTTTGATCAAATGCACTGTTCACGATGCAGCCATAATCTTGCTCGTGTGCTCTGGCATCCAGTTCATCCCTGGACCACTTCAAAGAAGAATCCCTTGTTATTGTACGTGTATCCACATTTCTCTTTCTCCTATACAATGAGAAAAAAAAAAAAAGAACAACCAATTTTAATTTCTCTTCTTATCTATAGTGAGAAGTCAAACAATGGTCAAAAGAGATCTCAAGTGCTGTGGTTCCTTTCTGGTCCTTGCAGGTATTTCACTGATGGGAGTTTTGAGGTTTACAGGTGCTAAAAGGGGTGTATATGTTTTGAATCTTTTGAAGGTAGCAAAGCTGAGAAAAAGCCTTACCTGTACAGGTACACTGTAGATGAGATGAGAATGACAATAACAATTACACCTGCCACGACTCCAATGACGATGGCATATGTATAGTCCTTGGGATCCTCTGTGTCAGGGTCTTCAGCTGAAGAAGAAATAAGAGCCCTGTCACTGAAAGCTGACCATACTATGAACAGAATTTTTTTTCTCAATCCTTGCCTATGTGTTTGGTTTACACTGTGTTCTCTGATGAATGTGGCTTTCTGGAGTGATGTCAGACCCCGATCCTGTATGCTCTACAGAGCCATGCTGTCATGATTTCTGGCACCTCTCCACTGGGCATCTGACAATTCTTTCTGCTTGGATGACCACAGGCTATCACCCACTGGCTTACTAATTTACATAATGAAAATGAAGACCAAGCTCAGTTTTCTACATAATAACATCCATTTTTGAAAGTGGTGTGAGTAACGCAGACAGGGAAATCCAAAATAGTTTTATTACCTATATTTTCAGCCTCACACGTTGCTCCTGTGTACAGCTCTGAACATTCACAGTAGAAGAGGAGAGAGGTGCCATTGGTAGTTTCAGAGCAAACACCATCATTCTGACAAGGGTTTGGCATACATGGTCCACCTAGTGAAAAGGAAGGAGAAATACTTGATTCTCAGATAATTCAACACTGAGAGAGCTGTTCTTGCTTAGATTACACTGACTCCTAATGCTGCACATCCCCTGTATTTTCTAAGGCAGTTACTTGTATCTGACAACAGGAATAATGGATGGAAACTCTGTTTCTGCAATGAAACATCAGAGCGAGATCACCTTCATGCTTTTCTTCTGTACACACTCCCTTGAAACTATCCCCAACCCAGTGATGTCTTATAAGATAAGTCAAGACTTCATAGCATCAAAGAAAATATGATAGTGGTTGACTCACTCCTGTAGCATCCACGAGTGTAGTTGGAGATGCCACAGATTTCATCAGACCCACATGCTTTGTCAGAGCAGAAAACAGTGGAGCTTTCTGTGCACTGGCATGTCTGAGAGCAGTCATCAGTGGTGAATATTTCTCCAATCTGGAAGACAGCAGTGAGAAGTTAAGAATATCAAATAAAATCAGACAGAAAAAAGCATGAATAGAGCACGGAACCCCATTATAGTCTCTTCAACGCTTTCCTGATGAATAGCAACAGGGCAGATTTTTTTTTAATTAGTTTGTACAAATAAAACAAGCAGCTTACTAATCCAGCTCTTTGAAACTAGAGGATGGCCCAAGAAAGAAGGCAAAAGAAGAGTTTGAGGTATGAGATCCTAGTCCCAGGTGGGTACATATGCAACCAACAGTGTCTAGCTGTTGCTGGAGATAAGGGTGACACATGCATCACATCATACCTCCAAGGCAATGTGGAAATGCTATCCACCATATTATTTAAAAGTGTCTCCTGCTAATAGTGTCTCTCTCCTCCAATAAAAAAATGTTTACTGGCTTAGGCCTTTTCTGTACCAAATCACCAGTGTTAATGCAGAAATATATGAGATAATGAAGTTGTTCTATCCTGCAGCGACAATGAAGGATTCTCCTCAGAATCCAGCCTTGCTCAGGGCTCTCTTCATGTCCTCCCCAGCTCTACAGTCTCTCAACACTGCCTATATCACTCTTCACTGAGATGACTGGGACCACAGTGACCCACAGAATTTCTCTGTAACTGGTATGTTGTAAACTTTAGTGCCTATGAGGCTATTATTTAGCCTAATAAAGCTGAGGCATTAACATGGAGGTCAGAGTGCAATCATATACTTTCTCCAAGTGCCTGTCTTGAGTATTCTGGCAGGCAGAGTTTCAGAGGGAGACCAAGGGATCTCCTCTCTCTTCCCTTTCTCCAGAAACCAGAATTTTATTAAACAATTGCTCTTTGTTTCTAATGCAAAATTACATGCTGAGTATTACGAGGAGATTGTCAAAATAACTAATGGAAGAAAAGACTGTTTAGTGCTGCAGGAGCTGTCTGAGCCACAGAGACTGTATGTACCTCATAGTATTTGTTCAGGTATGTGCAGCCACACTCTTTGTAAGGCACACAGTCAAAACCACTAAGAACATAGCCAGGGAGACATTCACAGCCTTCCACACAAGGTGATTCACACTCAGAAGGGCTGGTCAGGTCGTTGCAGGATGCTGGGCATGCAGACGTGCATGAGCTGTAGTTGCTGTTGGCAGGACATGATATACCTATAAAAATAAGGACAGTCCGGTTATACCAGGATGCTGTGCATTACTTAAATATAGAAATCTCTTTCAGATCCAGAAGGCATAATTTTGTAGGATCATATAATTATGTATGATGAATATACATACACAGAGATGTGCATACATATATGATAGTGCTGAAGTTGTAAGTAAAGCACTCCAAAGTCAGGAAATGCATCACCTAAGCTACTTGTATAATGTGCTCTCATTTCTGATATACAGTGATCTCAAAACAGCTTCCCACACATTCAGGGTAGCCATCCTTGCAAGTGCCAGGCCTGTTTCACAACTTTAGGAACTGTGTTTCACCGGAAATACAGAGTCATAGGAAACACAGGGAAAATATGGTTTGATTAATCTCACGACCTCCAAAAAATTTAGTAAAAAAAAAAGTTTGAGATGATTATAAGTTTTATTTCAGCATTTTTTAGTCTGAAAAATTTAGTGATTTCAGTTGAATCTTTTTTTTAATCTTGAAATTTCAGGCAAAAAAGATATATTTTGTAGATTTTAAAGGAGATTGAAATTAATTGTTTTTCCTTCAGATTTCTAGCTTGTGATGGTCTCCAAATTTTTTTTTTTTTTTTTCCCATTGGGACGGGGGACATTTTTTCTCTCACAGAACTTCTGATGACAGGGAGCTGACAGCTCTGATTTCCAAAGTGTCTTTGTAAGCTGGGGGCTAAATGTGAAAGTCAGCATAGGACACAGAAGAGAGGCCAGAAAGGCAAATGTGCATGTTAAACTGTGAAGGCTGAGCAAAGTGAGAATCAACATGTTTTTACTCCCTGAGAAGATTTGATACATGGTATGTCTAGGAAAAGCCTTAAACCTGATATTTTGAGAGTCCTGTAGGCAGAATCCATACTTCCCATTTCTTCCCATGCTTACCACAAACTGTCTGTTGTCTCCAGCCATCCATACTGACTCCTTGCTGCTGACAGGCCAGCACATATTCCTCCAGACTGCGACACAAGGTAGTGACCTCATCTCCTTCCACACACATATCAAACAGGCAGCTCCTATGTACAACATGAGAAAACATTAATTTCCAGTACTTTTGTTATTGCTTATTTTCATTTGCTTTTCTGCCTGACTCTGAGTTAGTTCTGTGTTCCAGTATCTGCCTGATAGGAAACAGAGGAATAAAAAGCACCCCAGACACATAATTGGAAGATTAGGTCATTTGTTGTGCAGCTGCTGCTAATCTGTGAGGTGTTCATATAGAATCATAGATCATTAAGTCTAGAAAAGACCTCTAAGATCATCAGGTCCAACCTTTAACCTAACACTGCCAGGTCCACCACTAAACCATGTCCCTAAATTAAAAATTTTCCTAATGTGCAATCTAGACCTCCCTTGGAATGAGCAATAAACTGTTACCTGACTTAACACAATCAATTATTCTTTGCTATCTGCTTCTGTTATGAGCTACATCTTGCTTGTAGAGCACTTTTTAGCACTGCTAAGTCTTACAGCTGGCCTACACACTTCTTTCAATACATGGGTACCCTCCCCATGTCCGTGTGCCTTGAATATTGGCACAGAATGATGTTTTACCCAGTGTTTGTTTGCCAGTGCTACTTTCTCAGTTTTGCTCATCATTTGAATATCTGTGGCCTGATTTTCAGAGGCACTGAGACCCAAGATGAATGGAATCTGAAAATATGCAGTGCCTCAGTAAGATCAGGGCACCGCTAGGCAGTTAGAACCGGCTGCCCAACCAAATTCTAGAGTGAGGAGAAAAGTTATGTTAAGAATCAGCATATATACAGTGATCTACTTTATTTGGCTTAAGATACTGTAATATTCTTCTCACAGATAAGAGATGGGCATTGTCTGTCTTTAAACACTAGGTACAAGCATGTAACTAAAGAAAACTGGCAGCTACATGGCATATTTGTGACTAATGACGGATGAATGATGAATGTGGGGATGAATACAGCTCAAAATTTAGTATGTAGGAATTGTATAGGTAGGAGGCAGAGCAACCCTGAAACACAGCAGAGGGAACTTTCTTAAAGATACCGGGTTAGTTACTCTTCACTACTCTGGTTTTTGTACTTCTCCATGAAAAATTCAAGAAGCATCACTGACAGCTTCAGCTTTTGGCTACAGCATGATATAGATTTTATGAAGCTAGAATTGCTTAAAGGAAGCCAATAGACCTAGGTGCTAAATTCTCACTGAATGTAGATAAGAACTGTATGCACACTGGAAATCTCGGGCTACAGGTATAATGCTTAACACTGCTGCTTTATCTGTGTGCAAATATATATATTTTTATATATAGAGAGAGCTAAGAGAGAAGTAAACTCAAAATAGATGAAAGAAAGGCCATCACATTTATGTAAAAATAAATAAGGGGATGTAAATATATCAATAATGGAATCACTGGGCCCAAAGACACTTATTATCCTCAGCTCCTATTAATGCCCTGGAGACCGAAGATGCAAAGTTCTTGTCTGAAACTATTGCCAAAATGATTTTGCAAATGGGGAGAACAACTGTCTGCAGTAAACACTTACGTGAAATAGAAATCCGGTAGGACTGTAGAATGACACTTTGCAAAAGGACCATTCAAGTCAGTCAGGATTTGGCATCTTGAAGTTGCATTTTGCTGCTCCAGCTGATTTTCGTTGCAACCTTGGAAAAGTCCTGGATCTGGCTCCTCCACAGACTCATTTCCTGAGTTGACATCTCGTCTATAAGTGAAGTCATTATGAAACCATCAGTATTCTGTGTACATCCAGTATTCATGGTACTAGTCTCTAAGTAACACTGCAGGAATACTTCTGCCTCATAGTGTAAATGTAAGCTTATTTATCTCTCATGATTTATCCTGAATGGGAAGGACATAGATGTAGCAAATCAAAGACACGCTGGAACACTTCCTACGATCTCAGAGATTTATGGTATTTACATTAAAAGGGATGCCTGTAGTTCTCTCTTTGGAAATTCTGCATGACACAGAACGCCTCCTTCATCCAATCTATTCAACAAAATTGGAACGTTAGTCAGAAGGATACTGCTGAAATAAACCCCTGTTCCAGGGGAAGGACTGACATTAAATCAGGATTTACACTTGCTCAGGCCCATCTGGTATAGCATGTACTTATTTTTGCCAGCAACCGTGAGCTTGGCAAAGATGTTTTTTATTCCTCTGCCCCAGCAGTTGTAATGGCTGTGACTCCAAAGAGGGATACTGAACCACAGTAATGCAGTAATTCAGGCCTCTTTTGGCTAGATAGAAGGGCACTGATAGCTAACCTTAGTGATGAGCAGGAAAAGTCCCTACATGCAAACAAAGGGAAGAAGAAAAACCAGAAATAAGACAGTGTAATTATTCCTGGAGGTTAGCTATGGCTTAATTCACTCACTTCTAGAGGCAGTACTTGCCACGGATATTAAGTAGAAAATCAAGTACCTGAAACGAGAGCTTCTTTTTAAAGGAACTTTCCAACTTTCACCAAATACATTCACGTTCTTCACCCAAACACCATCTGGATTTGTGAAGTCATTTCTATATCTCCCATCAAAGTCACCACACAAGCCTTCCACTCTGCTTCCGTAGGTGTTGGCCAGCTTTATATCTAGGGAAGGTCAGAAGAAAAAAAAAGCTGTTACACAGAAATCGTTGTCTCTGAGTGTAGGAAGAAGTGGAAAACAATGCCAAGTGCCACACATTATGACTCAGATTGAAGTTCGTAACATGACATGGGCTTCACATGTAGCATGTGAGCACAGCCCTGAACATACATGTTCATACATGTAGTCACAGGACTGTTTCTGTGCTCTTCAACATGGACCATGAAAAAAAGAATTTCTTGCAGTAATTTCTTATAATATGTTATTATATAACACAACATCATTGCCCAAATGCTCTTAGTGCCTGTTGCTTACTGCTTTGCAACAAATTGAATGCATCACCCACTTTTTGCCCTTCACTGACAATCCACTTGACCACTGAGAAACAGAATTCCTACAGCAGACTGTTTCTTTCTGCAATTGGAATTTTAGGGTTGGGAATGAGGGTCATGTAAATAAATTGCCTGGCCCTTTCACCATACACTTGGAAATAAAATAGCTATATGCTGTTGTAAATCAGGATTAACTTCGGAATGACAACATTTTTTGAGACGGTGCATAAATATTTCAGCACATTTTTTTTAGTATCACTTACCTGCATTTTGATTGCCATCAAAGCTCACATATAAGCCAAAATCTGTCTCTAGGTAAATTCTTGTTATCCTCTGATATATATGAATACCGTCATGAGGTCGAAGAGGGGGTCTCACACGGACACCATCCAACTAACAGGGAAATAAATTAAAATTCATTATGTGTAGGCCAAATTAAAATCTGGCTTCAGTACAGGTCAATGCTACATATCAACATTTCTTGCTTTTCATGATAAATGTATCAAATAATTTAACCAGTAAAAACCTCAGTATTTAATTTTTTAAAGTTAACAAAATCATATATTGAGGAAAGTGATCTGGACATAGTACTTTCATATCATCATAAGAGATTTCTGTTATTGAGCTAAAGCGAATATAGGGGCTATGTATATTCTTACACACCAATAAAAGGGAAGGAAATTAAATTATCCTAGCATAATTCACACTTTTCCCTACCGCTGATAAAAATTTGTGTGGCTTTATTTTAAGCCTTGGGATATTTGGTGTTTTATTCCCCAAACTCTATTTATACATTTATTTGTTTGAAGTAGAATCATATCCTTCATAGCTATGGAGCAAAAAAGACTCAACACAACTGAAAATCTCATTTGTGGTTGTCTCATAGCACTGCTGTAATAATACAGTTTAGTACTTTAGTACTTTAATTCTTCAAAACAAACATTTATTACCCAGAGGTGTTTTACTCCAAGGGAGAGTCTTTCTCCATGCTCTGCTGTCAGGGAGAAACTTACCAGAACCTGCTTGTTCTGCCTGAATCGCACTGTGTGGTTGTAAACATTGATGAGAATCTCTTTCAGGTAGGTAATGTGTCGAAATAGGAGTAAAGGAGAGTTAATGCCTTCAATGCTGAACTGCGTGAGAGTATCAGGTAGGTCAGGGATGGTCTGAGCCAAAATATATGTGTATTTCCCTTGGAAGTGGTGCACCAGACCGTCGAAGGTGGTGTAGTGTGGGTCACCCAGGATCTGGCATCTTCCAAAACCTAAAAAGGAAGGGCTTCATTACTCTCCAGTTTAAATGTGCGTGTGTCAGATCCCATGCATAGATTGGTTCAAAATGCTAGGTAAAAATTATTGCTGCTAGCATGCAGGTCTGTAAGTAAAGGTGGGTGCTCAGGCATCGCCCTAGTGAATGAACACTGAAATAGAGAGATAGACAGAGAAACTCATTCCTCTGCTGAGAACCACTGTGAGCCAGATGAACTGAAGCAGAACATTAGAGTTTATAGACATTATAGAGACTAAGTTGTGCATATTGGCCCTCTGCTGCCACACAGCATAGCTTGCAGTGGGCTCTCAGAGATGTCGATTTCATAAACCTCAGCCGTGCATTGCTACAAAATTGAAAAGCAATGTCTAACTTTGGCTTGCTCACTGCTGTCACTGATTTCCTCTGAGGTTACTAAAATGGATGATTGGGTTCACCAGACCAAACAATCAGATGCAGTGACTCATCTCTGTGTTCTCCTTGACCACTGAGCGCAGAGTAAACCATTATACCAAGCAAGGCCATCCTTAAGACTGCTGGGGTGCCTCTGCTCCGGTATTTTGCCAAAATGTAGCAGGGAAACACTGGATTTGCATTATGCTTTTGTGCTGATACTCAATACACTATGATTGATGACATACTATTCTTCAAAACTGAAGTGCAGAGGCACTAGGCAATAAGCTGTCTCCCATACAACTCAACTTACCTAGAGAATATGGGATTAACTTTGCTTAGCCAAAGCAATATTGAACAAAAGTAGAAAGTTCTCTGACTGGTCTATTATGTATCTGTTCAGATCTGCTCTGTCTTGGATTTTGTTTATTGATTTTTTTTTTCTGTTCTCAAATCAACATGCAGTGAATTTTTTCTTAAATTTATTTATTTATTTAAACTAGTCAGATCGAACTAGATTTCTAGATATAAGTAAATTTTCATACCCGAGTATCCATTTCCCTCTACCAAGTCTCTCTATGCAGCTGGAACCTTTTATTATGAGAACTGAGGCTTTTTATATTCAATAATGTGTCCATAACACGGTCAGAGTTTCCTTCTTTCCCCTTGAAAGTCTGGAGTTGCCATGGAAGAAAGAATGGACACACACATTCTCCCTTCTTCTCCAACCCTCATGAAACACCAAATGAAGACTTGCTTGACATACCTGTTGGCTGGCACTTGTGTTTTCCATTTTGGATCACACAGGTTTCTCTAGAATCACAGCTATAGCTGTTACAACTGATGACACCGTTCTTCTGACACTGGCATCTTCTGGCGCAGTGTGGAGTTATCCATGTCTCCCCAGCCTAAACACAAGTTATGGTGATAAGATGTTATCAAGGTGTTCAGCTTTGCAATGCAATAAGAGTTCAATACCTAAGGGTGTGGGGACAGGTTAGGTGCAGCCTGTCCAGTTGGTGATTCCACAAAGGCTCAATCCAAGCGTAGTCTCACCAAGAGTGTGGGAGTGGGGATCTCAGTCCATTTATCTTATTGTCTTTGACATGAGAATTTGAACAAAGGATAGGAGAGACTGCCTGCATATCTCTGATCAATTGACTGTTTTCAAATATGCCTGAGTTTTGGTCTCAGGTGCAAAGTACAAAGCAAGCTTCTGCATCTCCTAATACCCAAGCCTGAAACTTTTACTCATCAGATGAGAGGTATTTAAGAGGTAGACCCTGAAGACTTCGATCTTTCTCTCTCTCTCATATTAAGGTCGTCAGGAGACAAACTTTCTGCAGAAAAGCCACAGATTTTGAAGCCACAGATTTGCTCCACAGACAAACTACTTACACTGTAGTAATTGTTGTCATCATCCCTGCAGCCACAACTGCTCAGAGGTACACAGTTGCCATTACTGAGCACATAATTATCATCACACTCACATCCCTCTGTACACTCTTCTGTCTTGTCACAAAGGGAAGAGGCAAAAATGTCATTGCATGTTGATGGGCAGGCGGAGACACAGTCTTTGTAATGGCTCCGGGATGGGCAGGGCAATGCTGTGTGGGAGAATAGGAGCAGCGTTATTAAATATATTTACAAAGTGCACTGCAAACACTGAAAGCTACACATTGGCCTATGAAATGATAGTATGGAGTTACCTTTTAATAGCTGCTTTTGATGATCAACCAATTTTTATTTTTGTATTTTACTTAAAAAAACCCAAACAAAACGAAACAAAGCAAAGAACACTTTCTGGAGCAGCTCATGCAGTTTTATTGCAGGTATGCCTGAACTGGTGGCACCTGGCACTAGATCATTCAGGTTCAGTGTTCCAGTTATGCTGCAAATGCCTCTTTGGGCACTTCTGGAAATGTAAATCTTAAGGGCAAATATCTTAGAATGTTCCACCCTCCATTGATGCAAACCAGGTGTAAATTTAGCTTAACCACAGACATAAACACATGCAAGATATGCACTGCACTTTCAGACTGCAGATTCATCCAGCTCCATACCACATTTCTGCCAGTGACTAGAGACACATAAGGGGACAGTTCAAGAAATGGGCTAACATGACAAAAGGTTTGTTAGTCCAGTATTTTCCTCTACTTGTGGCAAAGAGGCAACTAGGGATTTCTGACAGACCTATTCAACATTCATCTGGTTTGTTTTTTAACCAGTTAATTGTTTGGTCCTCCACAACATTATGTGATAATCCCACAATATGATACTAAATTGTGAAAAATCCCCCACAAATAAACCCCCCACTACCTGATCTTTATTTATTTTTGCATAATTAGTTTGTAGCTTTGTTGAATTGGTGGAGTGAGGCACATACCCTGGAAATTAATCCAAGAATATGGCCTGTAATAAACAACTGGGTAAACTGACAGTTTTCATTCAAATCACAGTGAGTGTCATTGAGTCCTGTGCCCTATCACAGTATCCAACTTTCTTTTAGTCTTCTGGTTCTATTATTTCTCCATTTTAGGCTCACTGCAATATCTCATGGCACTCATGTGGCTACTAAAACCATTCTAACTCCACATTAGTATCCATAGCTTGCCTAATCCTGAGTTATCACTGGGTTTATATGAACCTGAACACAATTCAGCACAGCAATGCAATCATAGTAGTAGAATTGTGTTTTGTGAGAATTTGGATTTATTTTACTTTGACATAACTTGTTCACATAATTCTGCTTATTTGTTTTCATACTATCAGTCATCCAAGTTTCAGTTTTTTCCCTTGCTTGTGCACTTACGACAGAATGTGTTATTCCTCCATTTAATGGTGATTCCATGGTTCTTGCAGGTCTCCACATAGGCTTGAACTATGTCGCAGAGAGCAGACTTCATGCCATCATACTGGCACATGTCATAGATGCAGATCTCTACAAAGTCTTCAGGGTTGACTAGATTATGGCATACTTTGAATTTGTCTGATTTTAGGACATTACACTGGCTTTCAATGACTTGTTTATTCTCAGCAGTGCAAGGGGGGTTATCATCTTCTCTTAAGTCTGGTAAGCAACTGCAAGAAGGCACAGACACAGGCATCTAAGTTCCAAAGGCATGCTGAAGACATGAAAATTGAAAAGTTTTTTCTACTGTGAGGCAGAAAAGGCTAGAGACTGCAGTCTTCCTTCTGCCTGAGTGAAAGACTAGCAGAATTAGACCTGCCTGACAACCACCATGCTGTGTCTGACACTTGTTACTCTCACTAAACTTGACCCTGACTAGAGGATTGATGCACAGCTTGATCTTGGATCTGTCTCATCACTGCAAATTCGTGTGGTGATCTGGACTGAGCCAGGCTGTCTCCAGCTTCCACTGCAGGCCTGAGGCCACTGTTTTCTCAGCTGTGTTATCAAATATGACTTCCTGCCCCCTAAGGAGCAGCTGGCCCTCACCATTCCCCAGCACCATCATCTGGCTCTGGGTGTTATAAGTGTAAAATAGATAGAGGCTGTGCACACACTGTGGAGTGCCCCAAAGACTAATTCCCCAAGTGTGTATGTCGATTGATAGAACGGCTGTGGGTTCCCTCTGGCCTGTGCAGCAGTTTTCTGTGGGGATGGCCTTTTTTTGGGCTTCAAATTCAAGAAGAGAAAAGTCTTACACACACTGCTTACATGTTATAAAGTAGCAGACAATCAAAACAACTGAAAACAATTGACTGTTTTCTGGAAGGTATGAAAAGACATTAATAGTTACCCCTTATCACTGTCTATCTCCACTTTCCAGCTATTTCCAAACTGTGTGGCACTGACGACTGTTCCATTGGGCAAGGACAGATCATCTTCACGATTATCATTGAAATTACCACACATGCCATGCACCTGCAAACAAAAAAGAACCATATTCTAAGCATGACCTGTTCACATCAACTTCCCCAATAACTTCTTATCCATTGCCTATGAAATAATGTGACCAAATCAACCACCAATCTTTTACTAGACATTTTAGACATTCCGACTGCACCCATGGAGAAACAAAACAGATATTGCAGTAAATCTGTGATTCCCTAAGGCTTCAAGGTATTTATTTCTCTAAGTTAGATGTATTCTGCTAGCCAGGTAATTTTCTTTAACTACTCCCTCTGAACACAAGGAAATTGTTGTGAAGAGAAAAAATAGAAAGGAAAAAATTGTCATGTGTTACAATACAACTACAAAGAAAGATGCAATAGCAAAACGCAAGAATAAAAGGAATTAGAAGTAAATGCAGAAAGCAGTAGTTTTGAAGAGCCAGATGTTTGCACACTGAATCTTACCTGTGAGAAATAAGATTGTGGGAGGGTGATTTCCAGATGGTGATTGCCGTCGTATTTTACTATCACACCAAAGTCAGTTTCCACGACTATAAATCTGCCAACATTTCCAATGGACACACCTTGCAGTCGGTTCTCCACTGGAGTGTAGACTCTCTCATTGTTCAGCTGGAGAGACATGTCATTTTGTCAGTATGGACATTGTTCCGTGAAAGCTTTTCTGCTCACAGGCTATAGTTCTAGCAGTGCTGAAGATTTCTCTGTGACAGTTTTAACTGTTTACACTTCCACCCTTGCATATTCCAACTATGGGTTGCAGGAATAAGCCTTTTAGCTGAGGAGAGATGGGCAGGACTCATATCCTGTGCCTTTAACAGGGAGCTGACCACTGGTAGTTAGCAAGCTCTTACCCTTAGGGTAGACTCCCTGCCTCCAGGATTGCCATGGATCCCCATTATTCTAAACTGATACAATATGACTTGCCTTTCCTCTGCTCTTGTTAGCTCACTATAGGTGATTGGCTTGACAAGAACTGTTGAAGTGGGGAGTCCCATACTTTAATTCAAGCAACAATTCTCCAATCTGGAGGCTCTGGGCTCCATCTTGAAGATATGACCAATAAAACAGTAAGCCCAAACCAGAAGCCTTGGGAAGTACTGAGAAATTATATCTGCTTGTGATATCCACTTAATGGAGGTGCCCACAAGTATTAAGCATATGCGTACATATTCCTTAGGAAACATGAAGATCCTTTTTCCTACGGCTACTGTAAGTGAGCTAATTTTAAGATACTTCTTGCCAGAGTAAAGAGCACCACCACCTACCAGGATTCCTTGGTTTTTCTGAAGGGTGATTCGTACATCATGCACATCTATATAGACTTCTTTCAGGTATGTGGCCCCTCTCAGTCCTCTATCTTCATTCTTGCCCAGTATGGTTATAGGAATGACATTGGTGGCAGTGTTGACAACCTCAACCAAAGTGTAGGTGCAGGTTCCCATGAAAGTGTACTTCATTCCATCAAAAGTGAAATAATGGGGATCTCCTACCACTTGACATATTGCTTGACCTGAATGTGAAAAAAATTATCTAAGAACTTTGTACTGGACTTAGTCATGGAGTCAGCTGATAAAGGAGTTTGCATAGGTGTAACAACCTAATCCTGATAAATATTATTTGAGCAAACTTTCACAGAGGCATCTCAGGTTCATGCCAGTGACATTTATTTGAAAATAAGAAATTTCTAGAGAGCACCTCCTAAATTTAATTTGCAAATTACATACAAAATGACAAACTGGCATCAAATGAACTTTTGTATATATTTCTATATGCTGTTGCAGCTACAATTTATGGTATTTGAGAGTAATACAGAGCTTTTCTAATTATCTATGCAAAGATATAGAATTATCTGTATAAATATGGGTGTAAAAGTAAATAAAATTGCATCTGTATATATCAATATATAGCGCACTCATCATAACCCAGACCCACAGAAATGCAATTCTCAATTATTCTCAAATTTATAGCTTGCAGTACTGGTGATATGGGACATGAATTTTCATTATCAGGACAAACAGAACCCAAGTGACCTTGCAAACTTTTGGGCATCATCAGTTTTTGCTGATATTCACTACAAAGGAAGGGCCTTTGTGCTTGCAAGACAGAACATCATATTTCCAACTCTTAGCAATGGCAGCAGTCAGTTGGGACTTCTTTACTATCACATGGGAAGAGACATTTATAATGAAGTTAGAAGGAGAAGAGGATCTAATTATAGAATTGACATTGGAATGATTTTCAGGCAGGACTTACCATTGGAATGACAGCCCAGCACACCATCCTGAATACTGCATTCCTCTTGGACTCCACACTCCCAGGATGTGCATTCAATGGTGTTATTAGCCTTGCAGGTGCAGCGTTCAGTGCAGGGATAATGGGTGAACCAGCTTTCATCCAGCTGAGTGGAAAAAAGTGTGTAGAATTATATACTATAAGATAAATAAGAATGTAAAACTGTAAGGAAATAAAATTATCAGTATTTGAATGCGCATGATATGTGATCATTTGGGCAATTGTAGCCACGCAGCTCATGTATCAAGAAGACTGGCAAAGTAATTCTATTTTGAAATTGTTAGTGGTGTAAATATTAATTGTGTAGTGTTATTAACATGCTTTTTCTCTCACAGTGATAAAGAATGACATTCTCCCCCTCCGCCTTTTTTTACTTTATTTATTTATTTACTTGAATGCCTGAGGTAACTTGCCTGGTGATACTGGTTCTTTTCATCAACACAACCACAGCTGCTTTCTGGTACACATTTGTCTCCACTCAAAACATAACCTTCCTTACAGAAGCAACCTTCCACTGGTAAAGAACTGCAGGAATCAGCTACTGAGATGTTCAAACAGGTAGAGGGACACCTAGTACCACAGCTCTTGTAGATGCTGCCTCCAGGACAGGACATTGCTAGATAAAGAGGAAAAATAAAATCACTTTAAAGGGCAAAATTGTGGCAAAAGTTTTCCTGATGCTTTCACTGTTTGCTCCTGAAAATACACAAAATTGCTGTTAGAAAGCCTGACACAGGACAGTGCTGCGTACAAAGGACTCTCTTTCCATGTGAGATGGGTGGCTTTTGTTAAAGGTGGGCAAGACACGTGGGCCACCCTTGCACTTCACCTCACAACAAAGTGAGGCAGGCCCGTGTCAAGGATAGGTCTGATGTCATCATATACAACGATCAATTGTGTTTGGTTCAGTAAACCTTTTTCTGCTGGTTTGAAGGCAGAAAGTCACTCCATAAAGGGAATAGAAAAATCTCTACCCATACCAGCTGATATGTCCCCATTACTGTTGTTACTATTTGAACATCTGCCATGTATTTTAAAATAGAACTAAAAATGACACTCTGTCTTTCACTGAGAACACTTGAGGAAAATATATTATATTTTCACACCCCTGCTGCTCATGGTAGAATTGGGTTTCTATCACTCAAAGCATTGTCCCCAGGGATAACATTACAATTTACAGAAACCTAGAAGCATTTCTCTGTTTCTGTCATCTAAAAAAACACAGAAAAATTGTTTCTGGCTAGATTCTGTGATAAATCACTACATATGATTCTCTTTTATCTTGTCCGTACTCAGAACATTACATAAAATGAAATAACGTGCATGAAGAGGGTAGAGGACAACGAAGTTAAAATCCAGAATAGATGTTTATATCACAACACTCACGGCAAAGAGTAGCATTCCTCCACTCTATGCATATGCCAGCATTGATACATGACTCAGCATAGGCCTGTAGTCCGTAGCATAAAGATATTGCCTGTCCACCAGTGAAACACATGTCATAAAGACAATTTTCAAAGAAATTCTCTGGAGGCACTTTGGTATGACAGTCCTTGAAGATTCCTGTGTAAATCAAAAAAGATATATAGAAGGATAGAAAAAACCAACTGGAATGCTAAGATCATAACCACCATCTATTTTCTGTCACAGTAAATGTATTGTGAGTGCTCCAGGCTAACTTTGTTTAGTAAATTAAACCAGTACTTGAAATGGATGCACAAGGCAGAATCAGAGTGAGCCCTCTGGATCAGGTTTTCTTCTTTTTGCAAGACTGATACTACATAGCTTACATAAACTAAGTGTTGCTGCCTAGGAAAACCACTAATTCTAGACAACTACAGAGACTGTCCAATGCAAGGAACATGTACAGAATTTTAGTTAAAGTATCTGTAATACATACACTGACAGTGCCCTCTGAACTACTCTTTTAGCAAGCAGAGTGCAAGTCACTATAAAGAAAAGAGCAGCTCCCTGAACATGTCCTGAGATAACCTTCATGGACACATGAGCACTGTCTGAACAGATGACATATCCTGACTGAGCACCTATGAGTTTTACATTGGCCATTTACACTGGAGGTTTTATATGCTTCCAGTGTGAGCTCAGGAAAACAGACTATAAAGAAGGGACAGGACAAGCTGTAACATGTTCCATCATATGGCTCACAGAAAACTACCAGCATATTACCTGTTGGGTCTGTGATCATGCCACATGCTGTGTTCTTCTTTACTTCACTCTCCAACACAGGATCACACTGTTCTTCTGTCCCACCACTGGAGCATCTGGGGAAAGCAAGCAGAATCAAATGTGTGTTTCTCATCATTTACTATAAGATTTTCAGTGGAAGATTGACACGTGACAACCCTGCACAACACAGTGTACTTTATGTCAGTCACAAGACTTTATCCAGCTTCTTTGAAAAGCTGATGTCAGCCCTCTCACTGAACGGGCTCATTTTTTTTATCCCTTCTGGGCTATTCAAAGGCTTATTCTTAGCTGAAAAAAAACCAGTTATGGAATCCAAACAGTTATGGTTTCCAATTAGGGAACTGGACTGAAGTCCCATCCTCCCTCACACTCAACAGACAGTTCCTGCTTTGGAAAACAAGACTTAAAGGACATCTTATCATTCTCTGGATGATAAAACCAGCAAGCAAGTGGATGGCTATTTGATTTTAAAGAGTTTGGTTAACAAATGCCATGTGATTAAATTATTATACATACATGGTGTTATTCTCAGGCACAAGCCAGCTTTCTCCAAGATCAGTGGAACTACTGGCAGTATCACCATTGGGTTTTATATTGTCATCATTTGGATCACCATTATAATTACCTGTGAACGTAAAAGGAGATTTATGGAAAACATGAAGTTCAAACCTGTAGAACAATACTAGGTTTTAGGCTGTAAAATAAAGTAAAATATTATAGGGAGAGTATATCTGCAACAACAATGTGTACTGGGCAAAATAAGAAGAGCAGAATTGTGTTTTAGGCTTTGACTGAGCTACTGTTCAGACACTTGTGGACTTGAAGCAGGAAGTCTGCAAGCTCCTGTGTAACCAGATTACATTGCATCCAAGAAAGAACTTCTTAGCTTAAAAAAAAAAATCCCAACTCATTTTCTTGTTTCCTACGTGTAGAATGTTGGACTAAAAATTACACAGTGCTATTTGCACCACTATATTCTTAGGTAGATTTCCTGCATTGAAAGCATGAAAAACCCATGGAGAGATAATAGAACTAGGAAGTTCTAGATGATCCAAACCAAAGAATAATCAGGAACGTAGTAGTCTAATGTTTCTTCTTTTTCTTCTTTTCTCATTCTCTTGATTGTTTAAACATGATCATTCAGGTTGTATAAATGCCTTCTAAGAGCACAGAAAAAGAGAAGCAGGAAAACTTGAGGATGGTGACAGTAAACTATTAAAGATTTCTCTCTGCTGTGAAAACAGCCTCAGGTTTTTATAATTCACAGAATTAAATGGTATATCATTTCCACACCGAACAAAAAACAAATACATCAGAATGTAAATAACATAAAAATGTATTTGTAGAATTCTTTAATAGCTCCATGAAAAAAATGACTCTCCTTTATTTTAAACTGTAGAACTTAAGGCAGCTTTTTTATTTGGCTAAAAATGTTATTTTTAATTATACCTCACAACATTCCAAATGGATAGCATGTTACCAGGAAATTTTAAAGTTCTTCTTAGAAACTGAAAAAGTCTAGCAAGTTTTTTTCAGTGCTGTAAATTCTAGTCCATTTGACAGGGACCAGTTTTGTGTAGAATAAGTAGGACACCCTAAAAAAAAAAGCTGAAGTAATCACTGGCCTCCACAACTCACTAAAAAATGACTAAGTCTACAACTTACCACAGAGGCCACAGAGCAGATGACTGTAATTAGAGGGCACGGAGACTTCTGCATAGTGGTTTCCATCATATCTCACCCACAGTCCAAAGTCAGTTTCCAAGAGAACATATCCACCACTGCTTTGAATACTGATTTTCTTCTCAATAAATACAGGCAGGTTCATTCTGCGACCATTCACCTGTACAGCAAATTGTAAAAGTTAGTGCATGACTGTTGGGACTCCTACAACTACCAGCAGCTTGTACAGATTACTGAAAGATATGATCTTGTGCACAAAGGAACTGGAAATAATTAAAGAACATTTAATCTGAGCAAGTTTGTTGGAGATCTCATTAAAAGAGGTACATGTCATTAATAAAAAGAGAAAGTCTCTTATAAACTCTACAGAGGAAATATTTTATTATTTGTATGTCAGTTCCAAATATGTTATATATCTCTTTTAATCAAGTCTTTTCTTACATTCACTTTCTTGTTTTTCAGTAGAGAAATCTGGTTGTCATAGACTTCCACTTGCACTGACTTCACATAAGAGACTTTGGTGTTGGCTCCTCTGTGCTCATTTGTTGTGGACACATCAAAGTATGGAAGATTCTCAGAGACATTGCACACTTTGGAGAGGGTGTAAGTGCAATTTCCCATGAAATTATGGACTCTGTGGTCAAAAGTGTTATAATGTGGATCTCCAGAGGCACTGCAGGAAGCACGGTCTGTGAAGACAAAAAGACAGACTAATTCCCTCTGAATCTTCATCAGATTTTTGCAGTTGCTTGGTTTCCACTTTGTTTTACTTTGTATTTGCTGCTCTGATATAATATTGACAGCAACAGCACTCCAAAGGCCAACCCAGTCTTCTATCTTTGGACCCATAAAAAAAACTGTACTCTCGTGTATCAGAAATCTATGCTAGAGGTTGAGGAACAAATGTGAGCAAAAGGCTTTGATATGAAAAAAAAAAAGGCACTGCTGTTAAGACATCATTATACAAACTGTAGCAGTGAGTTTTTAGTGTCGATATCTGAAAGGCTATTTCTGACTAAATAGGAAGAATTTCCATAAGATCTTTACAGTGTTGGTTAGCCAGAATAGCTGCACTACCAGCTGTCTGAGTTTCTGTACTCACATCATTTATGGAACTTATATTGAACATTGCATACACAAGATATCCTTTACACATTTTTAAAAATTATCGAAGTTAACTAGCCAGTGATAATATGTACAAATGGAAGTACACTGTGCGTTCACTGAAGTGTGTAATGTGGAGAAGATTTTGAATGTTAATAAGAAATTCCCGTTTTGAAGAAAAAAAAATTCCCATCAACTCTTAACAGAGTTGAGATTGAAGGTTCTTCATGGTGCTTCCCAATAATAAAAAAAGATAAAGAAATTTGAGATCCTTTCCTCTTTGTTTTTCAATGGCATGTTAAAATGTAGCTACACTTACAGTTGTTGTCTACATGTGAAGCTTAACTCCTTACACAAAAAGTATTAATGCTCCCAGAATGACATAGTTAACAGTTACCAAAAAAAAGCAGAAGAAATCTAAGCTGATTAGGTGAGCTAGGACTCTCTTGTATTTAACAAGCTGACATATGCAGATATTAGTGCTTAAATTGGAGGAAAGAAACAATTAAAATTTATGAAAGGGTATTTTAGTATTTATCTTAAATATTAAACTAACACTAATTGCACTGAATCAGACTTTGACAGGAAAATACAATTGGCTTATATCACCCCCCAAAAATAAAATTTGGAAACTAAATTAAATTTCAAAATATACAAAAAATAACATCTGTATAATAGGTGAAAACTTGCCATAGAAAAGAGTAATTTAAATATTTATGGACATGGAAATAAAGAGTATGTGAGATAACTATTAGATGGCTGGTCTACTCTTACCGAAAAGCCTGGTATTGTGGCAAAAGAGGCCTAGAGGAGAGTGTACATAGTCAGAACTCAGAAGGAGTCCCAGACATAAAGAAATATTATGCAACTGTAACTGGGGGAGCAAGGAAAACTCTGACCCTCCAGTATAAAAACTCTGTCACTTAGCTCTGACACTTCAATTCAGAAAATAGGAAAGTTCTGAGAGCCAGTAAGAGAACAAGATGGGAAACAACAGTACCTGAGCTGGGTATTGGTGTTGTTGGTGATGTTGTGTGGGCAGGCTGCGTTGTAGTGCCTGGCAAGGGAATCGTGGGTGTTGGTGTTGATGGACCTAGGGCAATAGACAGTTAGAGGAGATGTGCAGCAAGCCAAGTACCAGACCAGTTAAGTAAAACATGAGTGTTAGAGTGTTAGGGTGAAGGTGGGGCCACCTTTTCCCACTGTCACACAGTGCTCAC